TTCTTGTGAGAAAGTCAAATGCCACTTTTCTGATAGGAAGTAATTCGATATATTCGACTATACTGTCATTTTGTAGCTAAAAAAAGGAAAGAAAATATTCTTCCATTGCCAAAATTACATAATTTTTAGGATGCAAGTGGAACAATTTTGAGAGGACCTCATGACAACTCAGTATAATCTTCCAGAAATTGTTCCAACTAATTAACATGTATAGCTTTTCTACAAGCCTCATTTGGATTGTTATTTAATAATGCCCTGAATGTGCACTTCTGGTTCATGCCAATCGTGAGATCATCAAATAAAATTCAATATGATAAACTAGCCTATCTAGCTCCTGATTTGAGAAGATTCATAATTAGCTTTGTGTTTAAATGAAACTGTTATAACTAGTCAACATGAATGAGCAGAATGTTTCAATTGACCCCACTCTTTATTTATATCCTCATGGGACAAATGACATTTAGGATTTAATTCCATGGATTGATGTGCTTGTGGAAGGGGGTTCTTAATTAGATTAGTGGAATTCATTCATCTGTACTTTGAATTACTTTTCATTGACTATGTAATACACCATTTTGAAAAATAATAGGTATAAATAGTTAAAATATTTTAGGTTGAATTGCAGTGAAACAATCTCCCCACATTTATTTCAAAATTGCTGCTTTATCTGGAAAGCTTTTCTTCCTCTCCTTACAGTTGAGCAAGTTGTTTTACACAGTATTCAGAAACATCCATTTCTATTAATATTGTACTAATGTTTGCTTTTGGTGACATTCATCACCCTGTTATTTGCTTTTCCATGGATTTGCTTATGTATTTAATCTTTATGGTTTCTGAATATACCGAATATGTCTGAACAAGACAAATTGATCAATTTGTATAATAATATTATGCAGTATCTGCAAAGACTACAGAAGTATTGATAGTGGAGGTGTTTTGCTCAGCTGCATTAAATAGAGCTTCGTATGGAGCTCATGAATTCTGTGAATGAATGAGTTAATTAGTTTGGATGATGAGGACAATATCCCCTGGTGTCAATTACCAGTCTGATAGCATAAGAAATGAATATTCACATAGTAAATTTTAGAGACAAAATTATAATGAATAGGTAATAAAATTTATTGAGACATAATATAATGTCAACCAAAACCTGTATTCTAACAGAGCAAATAGTATTTGCAAATAACTCATGAACAAAACCATCAAACTTCAGTTACTGGATAAATGTCTCTTTTGTGTATGTGTGTCAATATATGTATTTTTAGGGTTGTGTATATATGCATATACATATATTTGTATTATGAATATATTACTTGTGATTGAACATAACTAAGAGTATAAAATCTCTACCCTGTAGAAAGAGCTCTTGGCATTGTTATTTCTGATAATAGTTTATTTTCCATAGAAAACTCCTATTTCCAAGGTTACGTTGTTATGATTATGATAACTAAATTTTTCAAATGTATGAAAGGCCAAGATCTGTTTCTCTCCAGTTGTATGTTTTATCACACAACTTGCTTATGTAGTAGTTTTATCCTGTCTTTATAAAAATGGGGTGAACAGGAGGGAGAAATGGGAGAATTACAAACTCAGAACTTGCCAGTTGATTGCCCTCCTATACTGGACCTGGTCCTATTTCTCCTCAGGAAATGCATTACATTTAAGAATGTGTGCTTATTGTTTCTACAGAAGCAAATTCTGAGGTATACAATGCACTGATATACCAAAAATTATACTTTTTACAAAAGCATGGGTGTTATTCTCTTAAATATTTTCTAGTTATAAGGTACTTTTTGGAGAGTGTCTCTATGTGGTTCCTGAAATAACAAAAATATTTTAGATTTGCTCTTCATTTTAAATATTTTTCTTCTTCCAGTTCCAAGCAAAGAAAAAAGACTTGCTCACTTCAGGTGAAAGGACTAATTTGACTTGGAAGGTGATGCTGCACATGCAATAGGTTGCTATCATCTTCAAGCTCGGAAATAACATTTTTTTGTCTTCCTTACATGACATTAGGTAGTGAGTCAGCATATCTACAGAAGTCAGTGTTGGCTTTCTCTCCCCTTGGTGTCTAAACATTATCCTGTTCTCACAGGTAGGATGAAGGGACACACATGGCAATTTACCAAAGTTTGGCAGATGTTAGTCTGAGGCTTAACATCCCTCCCCTTTTTACAGGTCTTCTTAAGCACTGACTGGGGATAAACGTGATCATTCCTTCACCTTGTTATAATGGCTCCAAACATAGACTTGGAGAAATCGTTGTTTCCCTGTCTTTTTTTCCTGCTGCTTTCACAAAATATCCAGATTATCCACTGTGATGATGAGGCCGGTTTGAAATGAGGCCAGTTGTGATAGGACATTAGTCTACCACTAATTAATTGATAATGTTTGCAAAGAAAGTTCACCTTTGAACCAGTGCTTAGAAACTGAAAAGCAAAAAGCTCTACCATAATTGGTTTAACACAGTTTTTTTAGTATTTTCCCACAGCTTTCAGAGTAGTTTGGCTGCTTAGACCATGAAAGTTTCTTGAAGAAACCTGGTCTACTGAACTGGAAGAGCATTTTTGGTCATAGGCTTAGCAATCTGGTGAGGAGGGCCTTAAACTGAAGTTGCTGGGGAGGGGAATCTCAATCTATACCAGTTTGATGTCTGTGCCAGCAGTGGAAGCCCAGAGAGGGTTCACAGGTTAGCAGGAGAGCACCTGATGAAGAGTGCAAAGGAATTCCAGCCACTCCAGCAAGTATGTTGGATTCACTGAGGAACCAACTTAAATGCCTCTATGCAAATGTACACAGCATGGGAAGGTTTGTATGGCAAACAGTCCCTGTGATGGGGTAATTCCTGCACAGGAGTATCAACTTTTGGTCAAGCAGTTATTCTGAGCTGGTGGATTGGAAAGTATAGAGCTCAAACTCGGGTTGCTCAAAACCAGTACAGATTTGGTTCCAGTTTCAGGAGAAGCAGCAGTTTGAGAAAGTTTTTTGGTGTTAGGTTTATACTGAGCTTCATTCAGTGCATAGCAAGGATGTCTCTCTTTGTAACGTGGTTTAGTGTTACAACAGAAGTAGCTGAATTCTCCTGTTTGCCCATCCTTTTTCCTCCCAGCTGAGTTCAAAGCTTTGTCCTGTGTTGTACCAGTGCATAAAAGACTTCACTTTTCAGAGCTGTCAGTCTGTCATTTTCATGAACCCTATTGCATGCAGTGCATTATTTCTTTTCTCCCCTCAGAAAAAGACTATGCACTTAAATGTCTATGATTTCTGAATTAAGCATGTTATTATATTTTCTTGGCTAAAATTCAGTATCTTATCATTTTCATATTTGAAACTTGTATTTTATAAAATTTGAAAGGGATTATAGTTCCTTAGACCATGTTCACTTCTCAGCCAGCAATGTGACATATAAACTTGTTTGAAAAAGAAAAGGAAAAAATTGCGTCAGTCAAAGTGTAATTATGTTCTTCTTCCATCGGTGTACCTCTCTCCTCCATGTGCAGACACTCATGTCTTGGTTGCTGAGACAGCTGTAGAGACTGCAGGTGGAGAGTGATATTCTGTAGGATGACGTGATTGCACCTGAGTTATAAAGCTTCCTCCTAAAGCTGTGCTGGAAGTTCCCAACCAAACCATTTGTCATTGAACTGCAAAATTTTAAATATGGACAGTTTGCTGATATCTTGGGGCACTTTGACACAATAGTCCCTGTCAGTCAGCAGAGGGAAAACATTGGATAACCTATATACTTCTGTCAGTCTTGCTGCCATTCTTAAGCATTTGTCATTTCTTCTAGGCTATTGTTCCTGTGTCTTAAGCAAATTTTCTTCACTAATATAGAAACTCATGTTCAGAATGGGAATTTCTTCAGTGCAGCTACTCCTAGCATGTTGTCTTAAACTCCATTTTGGAGGCAACCTAAATTCATTATCCTTTATCACTTTTTAGGCAGAGTACTTGTGACAATAGAGCTTCTTAACTGGGACTTGATCTTTAATCTTTGTTTTCATCTGTCCAGCTATGACAGAATCATTTATACCAACAGAAAACATGCAACAGTTAACTCTGAAATAATTGCTAATTGTAATCCCAGTGGCTCTACCAAGAGGTGGCCACAAACCGTGTGTTTTGTTAAGTCTTTAGTATTTTCTAGTCAATAAGAAAATTACTCTTCAGTTTAGAAAGGGAAAAAAAGGGGACATTTGTGAGATGTGCCTTGTCGTGCACTACAGTGCAAATGCTGTACATTAAGTATTTTAAAAATGAGACAAAGAAAGAAGCAAATTTATGACAGCATGCAGTATTTTGACTTTCAAAAAGTAGTGTGTATTAGTCAGTATTACCATAGGCAGAATTCTACTAACTAGATTAAAACAGAGAATACAGACAGTCTTTTGGTGGAAGGAACAAGTAATCTACTTTTAACTGACCTGGGGGTCAGTTCCTCTAGGACAGACATTTGCTATGTGAACTGTAATACACAGTCTTTCTTTAAAAATGGAAAATGCAAATGTAACCATTAATTTGCATAACATTCAGCAAAACTTAAAAAATCAAATAACAGGTTATGATATGGTAGAAACCAGCATGGAATAAAAAAAGAAAGCATTTCAGGACACAGGTTTTTCTATGTCTTGAACTTTGGGTTGGCAGATCTACTGGCTGTGGTAGGGCCCTAGGGATGTACACAAAGACAAACTGGAGAGGGAAGGGGCAGTTATAGAGAGATGAGACAACTCAGAAAATCTTTTACAACTTCACATCACACAACCAGCAAATAGGCTTCTTGATCTTGCTTATTATTGAAGGTGTAATGTCTAAGTTATTGTGCACTGGAAAGTCAAAATTTTAAATGCAGGGATGGGCCTGTGAAGAATTGGCCCAGTTTTGAAGAGGCTTGCTCTCTTTCTTCTTTCAGAGAAAATTAAAATCACTTCATATCCTGTTTTCATTTGCTCTTCCAGGGAACACTTTGTCTAAGCAGCTTTCTTTTTTTCTTGCAGTCCTCATTCCATCCCAGATCGCCTGCGGATCAGAGTGAACAGGATTAATTTACAAGAATACGAGGGGCTACATTACGACAAGGAAAAACTCCGGGAAGCTTGTAAGTTGGACGAAGCCACATTGTAGCTCCTTTTGGTAGAACATTCTGTGTAAATCATACATGGACCAAAAAGAAACCCCACCCCAAAAATAACAACAAAAACCCCCAAACACAGAGTCAAGCATACATGTTTGGATGAGTCATGTAGAGTGTATGTTCATCTATCTCTGTATATGTATTCTCTCTATATAAATAGTCTCTGTAAAGGTCATGTATAGAGATTCCGGCTGCTTTCTTACTTTCCTATGCCTTTGCAAGTTGATTCTATTTACTGTAAAATAAGTGTTTTTCACACACATTTGTTTTTATTTATGTTTTTCTGTTGATTCTGCTTGATTTCTAGTGGATGAAAACATTCCAGATTTTATGATTAGCATCAGATTTCAAACTGAGTTGGGGAACTATGATGCATTTATCTTGGGGAACAGATCTTCCCCAGTGAAGGGCTTCTCCAGACCCTTACTTGTTAACAGCCTTCGGTTTTCCATATAAGAGAATAATCACTGTTTTGTTTCCTCATGTAATGGTTTAATTGCCATGTTCAGAGGTAAGTCAAAAGCAGACAGCAGTTGCTTTGGCAACATTGATGATGACAATCTGCACTTAAAAATGAAGTTCCTTTCCTTGGTGACACACAGACTCATTAATCAATGAGGGACAGGGCTTCTTGTGATAACCATTTAATAGCCTTTTTCATGCATCTGGCTCATTATTCATATTAAATTACAAGCATGACTGTTTGTTGTGCAAGAAAGCTTCAGCTCCCTCTGTAATACAGAGCACTCTGATAATTACAGGATGACAATCCTTTTAATTGGTTTGCTTATCTTATTGTTGGAAGATAGTTAAACTATTTCCATTTCACTCTTCTAGTCCCACCCTTCTTTATTCTCTCAGTTCACTGTCTCTCCTTACAACAAAAGAATTGAAATGGCTTAAATTTTAATATAGGTCCTGACAGCCTTTACTGAAGTTTCTGTTAGTGGATTTTGGTCATAGTTAAAGCAATCAAAGCCTTTATCACTGGACTGAAAAGAATTTTAACAGATTAAGGATTGTGCTTCACTGGAGGGGTAATTGCTTCAAGCTTAAATTGAGAGTTTGACCTTGAGTAGTTTTCAGGCCACATTGAACACACATTTCTCCTACTCTGTTGGACAGAGTCTGGTTCATTTGGTTGTCCTTCCTGTGGTTTCTCATTTGAGGGGAACTATCATCACCTATCCTTACTATGGATGTAAGTTATCTGTGTCTGTAGTTACTGTATATTAGGTCCTTAAGAGCCATTACATGTTCTGACACAAAATACACAACTTATTACACTTTTTCACTGCAGTGGTAAATATATATTTATGTTATTTGTCACCTGACAAAATTCATAATGATAACATTATAAAAAAATGTGACTGATCTAGCACCTCTGAGATGTAGTTTTAGATTTTATACACATTTCATCACTTACTGTGTGTGTGCTTAAGAGGTTATCATTAAAAAAAGCAGATGTCTCTGTCAAGAGATAAAATGATTGCTTTTGGACATTGGTAGGTCATTTGCCATTAAATCCTTTTGTCTCTCTTTCAAGTTACTGCACGGCCAGCTTGATAATATAACATAGCTGGACAGTTTTAAATATTCTAGTCAGTTCCTGGGATTCCATGAAGTAAAAAATGGAAAATCCTGGTGGTTCAGTGATTACAGACTTAACATCTGAGTTTTCCTGTGACTTACATCAAACTCCTTACATCTTTTCTGGAAGCTGCATGGTTATACTAGAGGATTATATGAGTTTTTATGAGGAAGCTGGAAAACCATGTAGATCTTCTATTTAACAAGATTGGATAGCCATTTTAATTGTATTTCTGAAATAGAAAACTGGATAAATTTTAAATGGCTTTCTGGTTACATGTCTATGGATTGGTGCTACCTCACTCTCTCAGATGCTAAATACTTATATGAAATAAACCTGCTATGTTCTCCTCATCAAATCATTTCATGGAGCATTGACACTAAAAGTTACTTGGCTAAAGGGGGAGAAGGGAAGTGCTGAGAGAGGAGAAATGGCTCTCCTTTCTTTACTAAAGAAAGGGATGAGTGAGTGGGTGGGTGTGTGGAGGAATTGTTTGTACTAGCAAAATTCCAGAACGTTGATATTGGAAAAGTTGTTTCTTGGAAGCTTTACTGGGGAATTGTTTCTACAAGGCCTGTTACTGAAGAGGCACTGGCTTCTTTCAACATGACTGTAGCTCTTGTGTATATGTCTGTCCCACTAGATGCTTGCAAGAGACTCAAGTTTAGATACTTGTTCAGGCTTTGGCAGAATACCTACAACTGAATGCCAGAAAACTGTACTTAATACTCATCCTCTGTCCACAAGGATTAAAAGCACTTTTACCTCCCTAAATAATTTGAGAACCAAATCAGAATCCCTCAGCAATCTGAATAGGAAAAGGAAACCAGTTAATAAAAAGTTATCCCTGAAGGAAAAATAGCAAAGAAACTATTATGGTTTTTGCCTGTTACATGTCTCCATAATAGGGTTTTCAAAGCTTTGACTTCAGTGTACTAATCTGGATCATTTTAACTCACAATAAATATATTTCACTCCCCTTGTTTCCTTGAAATACTGATTTGAATCTATCTTCACCTAGAATTACACTTCCTGACATATAACAGTTTGTCATACAAACTGTTCCATGAAGATTAATCTTCACTCTGCTGGAGGTAGACATCTCATTTTGAAAGCCTCCCAAGCAATTAAAGAATGTCATTTTGTCCTCTGAAGGGCATGACTGTCCTTAGCTCATTCTCCTTCTCTTGTTTTCTACTTTTCTTGTCAGTGCAGCTGGCATTTAACCAAGATGCTGTTTCTGAATTGTCCCTTTCTTCTCTCCTCTTGCTCCTTCTTTTCTCCTCCATTCTTTTTTCTGTCAACATCTTACTATTGTCGGTGGGGTGATTGATGATGGTGCAGAGGATGCTTATTGATCCTTCAGAGAGGAGGGATGAATGTTTCTGTGCACCATTTTAAGAAAGGAATATATGCTGGCATTTCAGTTATGTTGTAATGTTCTTCACTGCAGATGAAGTTGTCTTCTCTAACACTTTCCTATATGTGTCCCAAGCACTTGTCACTCTAGTCACAAGCTTCACCACCTCTGCCCAATATGAGAGTTGTACATTACATGACCATAACCACCATTAGCATATTCAAAAAGTGAGATGGGCTGATGTTTCTAGGTGGACAGATTTTAATTCTGTCTCTCTTGCCTGCATATTTTCTGTGCACTCTCTCTGGTTTCCTGTCATAGCAGGAAAGTGTGATCCCAAGCTGCAGTGAGGGTGAACAATGGAGTTATTTTTAAAACAGCTAAAACTTTATGTTTGAAACCCTATTTTCTCCTTTCAAATGGTACTAAGAAGTTCCTGACAATGGAGGTATATACAGAAACTAATTATTTAAAAAAAAATTAGTTAACAGCAAACAAACGATAAACCAGCTAGTGACCAAGAGGTCTTCAACACTTCTTAATCCTTCCCACCAACACCATTTCAGATTTGTGCCATGAAAATGCAGTAGTGAAATAACTCACCATCAGCTGTAACTGAAGAGTTGTGGGGTTTTTTAATAGAATATGTCAGTCTTTACTGACCTTAACTTGTTGTGTATGCCCTAACCATAGAGAACCATCTTAGTTTCCTCAATACCACTAAGATTAAGGAGGAATCATACCCAATCTGGGTGATGCCAGTGTCAGTTCCATTTGTATAACAATTGGACTATCTATAATCTAACAGTGCTTTTCTCTGCAGTCTCCCTGTTTTGTATGTGTGTGAGATGCTGTAACATGATGTGATGTTAACCTCAAATTCTTGTCTCTTTGATTATACCTAGCTAGATGTCTATAATGCATGTGTCTCTGCCTTTAGTTTCTGTGGGTTATCTAAGGGTTTTGGGGTCATCCTAGGAGTTCTTATCAGATACATGGGCGTACGTGGAGTGACAGCTTGTGAGTCATTTGGGATGTGTACGTGTATAGTGATACTGTAGCTTCCTCATACCAGGAATGCACTTAGAATACCTGAGCTATCGAAGTTATTCTGACTCTTTAAAGCTCAGGGATATGACAGGTCAAGGTAATTTGGAGACTATTCTGTGTGATTTTGAACAACTAGCTAAGTAAGAAAAGGTCAACACTTAGGACTTGGTATTTATATCCTGAGTATATAATATAAAGGGCAGCAGGGAGCAGCAGACTTCCTGATGAGCCATGAAGGAAATGTGCTTGTATTGAGAAGCAGCTTTGAGCTGGATAGGTTTAGCTGAGATGAGTTGTGCAGCTACAATCCTCTTCCCTCCTGTAAAGGAAAGACCAAGGGCCATTTATTGGCCAGGAGTTCTTAGGATGCATTGTGGCTTATCTGTAGAAGCTTTGTAAAAGACACCATTACCTTCACTCTGCTTAAAAGTCACTGCCTTGCTCTAACAGCTTTGTTTTGTCAATGTGTTGTGTACCCATTAGCTAAATAATGCATTTTTTGCCACAGTGATTTAGTAAGATCTGAAATTGAAAGAGGTTGGATGGATTGCTTAAAGCCACCCAGCAAGATGAAACCAAGAGGATTAGAAGTCAGTTGTGAGTTAAATATTGGAAACTCTGTTATTGCCTGGGGTTGGGGGAGGGAGTAAACCCAAATCATTGAAATCTCATATCACTGAGTTATAGAATCATAGAATGAATAAGGCAGGAAGGGATCTTTAAAGATCCTCAAGTTCCAACCCCCTGTCATGGGCAGGGACACCTTCCACTAGACCAGGCTGCTTAAAGCCCCTGCCATTGAACTCCCCCAGGGTTCCACTTCTCTGAGCCACCACTTTCCATCCACCACTTCTCTGGGCAACCCATTCCAATGTCTTACCACCCTCATTGTAAAGAATTTCTTCCTAATATCTAATCTAAATCTACCTTGTCTTGACACCTCACAGGGCATATCTATGTTCATTATAGTCCTCTGCCTTCCTTTAGACTAGAAGAGATGGGCAGTATTCCAAATAGATATAATTTTATATTTAGCCTAGAGGAGTGGGGAGAATCAAGAATATTAACTTCCATTTCAGACTTTACAGGAAACCATGCCGTAGTTTGTCTTCTTGGTATAGACTTTTCTGTGAGGCTTTTCTGTCCTGTTTTACTTTCCTGTTTCCTTATTGGTTTTCTGATTTGATTTCCTCTTACCTTTTCAGTCCTGGTTGTGCCCTTTGGATATCTCATCCCACACACATCCTTCCTGCCTGTCTTAGTCTGTTTCTGTAGACCTCACATTTCAGGTTCCTGTTCTTTTTTTTAATCCTAAATCTTTATTCATTGTTCATCCAGATCTGTGCTGTCAGCTCTTAGTCACAATATCCATTCCCTCTGCCAGTTTCAATTCCCAGCTCTTCAGAGTTTTCTTTCTATAACCTGTTCCTTTTCGTGTGGTGTTTGGGACAGGTTCTCTCTTCCTTTGATTTGTACAGCTTCTTCCTTTGTTTAGCAGGGTACTGGAGAAATCACTGGGAGCCTGGAGGGGATGAGTGCCTTCTCAAACCTGGTCTGGTTTAATCTGATAGTCTCCACCGTGTTTTACCTCCTGACATGTGAGGATTTTAGAGGTGGACTGGTAGCGCTAAAAAAACTAGCAGCCAACACATATAGGGAGAATTAGGTTTTTCTCAGTATAATAAGCAAAAGGGATCTGAAGAGACACATGGCTTAGGTTTGTGTGGTAGAGAAAATCCTTTTGTACAAACTCCTTCTTATTAAAACCATACCGGGAAAGCCAAACCTCTTAATATAAATGTCTGAATATTTTAGAATTCTCTGCCAAGAATTTATTTGGTCCTTCACATTCCTAATATTAGTGAAAACCCCTCAGGAAAATGGCATTCTTATAACATCTTCAGTAGTGAGGATCCTTTATTTGCTACATTAAACATTTAGAACCCAATGTCTAACCTCCCTAGTCCCCTGAGGTATGTCAGACTCAGAATGAGTTTTCCTGGCATTCACATTTGCCTTAATGCTCTGTCTCAAGGCTGTTTTGTTTGGAATTTGAGCGGGTTAATATGGTGTTAAGATCACAAATTGAATCCTTTCATAATAGTAAATGGGGAAGCTAATTGAATTTTGTTTTTTCTTCATGGTGCCATATGCAGTATATTCAGGCTTCCGTCATTTATGTCCCCAATACTATTAAAGAGTTCACTAGCTTTAGGTATTCAGCATAATGGGCAGTTAATAGGTGGAAGATTTGTTTGTTGTTTATAAATTCCATAGCTAATTTCATGAGGACTCAGGAAATCATTATTAATCTTGCAGATAATTAGAGCACCACGTTACCCCAACTGCCGCATCTACCCAACCCTCCTCCTGCTGATACTTAGTTTTGGTTAGTGTTGCTAGGAACAAAAAGCTTTCTGCAGCATTGGTTCAGAATATGAAGTAACTGTCTGCCCGTCTCATTTTCTGGGATTCTTGCACAGCTGCTCATCACTGCAGTGTGAGTCTGTATCCACACCTTCCTGGACAAAGTCCTTTTTCATCATTCAGGGACCACAAAGGAACTGAGAGCTGGATGCAAGTGGCCAGAAGAGCAGGCACCTTAGGAGAAAAGTATCTGGCACTTGAATGCTGTGGCTTGGCTCATTATCTGAGACTATCCCTTATTTTTTGGCATATTCCCATGTGTGGAGTTATCCATATATTCACAGGAATGGACAGTGTGTGGGTGTATGGGAAGTTGCTCTGTAGTGCCTGTGCTCTTAATGTAATTGTTTGTCCTCCCACCCCCTCACCTGGCATATTCAGTAATCGCTGTGTCCCACAGCACTGTTCTGTACTGTCCACATCCTCATCCACACAGCAAATAGAGAAGCTCCTCTATTCCTGCATGAAAGCACCCACAGTGTTATTGAAGGGCATGCATATTGACTTTGTCTTTAACTTGGTTTATCAGAAATTAACTCCTTTTGCCACTCTTGCACAGTTTTGCCCTATTTTTAGAATGAGAAACAACCCCATAGTTTCAATCCCATTATCAATCATTAAGTATTTGCTTTTGTTTTCAAACAGCGACTATTGTGAAGAGCTTTGAAAGTCTTGGCTGTGTGGTGCATTTTATTTACTTACCGTGATTTCTGAAAAATGATGGCTGGGAACATTTTCCTTGATGAAAGCTAAATGGGTCTTGCAAAAAACCCCAACCAACCAACCACAAAAAACCCTCACAAAAAATCCAAAACAAACAAACAAAAAATTTGGAAAACAGCATTTGAGCATATACTATAGTGTTACCCAGTGATGACTTCAGGTTTTTCAAAGGACATGAACCATATGGAATGGAACCCCTTGAGACCCACCTCATGCACATTATCCCTTAAGCCATTGACCCCAAAAGCCATAGATTGTGCTAATTCACAATTTCCAAACAGTTAAGACAGCACATTTCTTTTCAAGGACAAAGTCACGCAGCCCAGAGTTTCAGAATTGGTCTATGGCCACTAACAACTGGTATGACATAATTTAATTGAAGTTGTGAATCACTACTTTTTTCTTCACTCATTAGATGGGGCCCATAAATATCACCACTAAGATACCTCTTGAATATCAGTTTTTGCTTTTTAGATATTTTGGTGGATTTCTTTAGAATTCCAAATGTTCCTAAGGTCCTTCTCTTTCAGGCTGTCAGGAATGGTGATAGTTAAGGATTTCAGTTTTGTGTTATCTGTGTTGTTTTGGCAGGTCAAAGCTTTAGTCCCCATTAAGTATATAGAAGAGAGACAAAATCTGTGGTGACGGTTTATGAGCCAGTGGTGTAGCTCCCTAGTGCTCTGTAGCTATTGGAGGTGTAGCTGTGTCTGCTGCAATTCACTTTTTAGTGCTATAAATGAATTTAACAAACACTTCTTTCAGTAAGGGCTGCAAAGGGATCTGCTGAATTGAAGCTAGATAGCCATTAAGAACTCTCTGCAAAGAGCTTAAGGGTCTCCTGTCAGAGCAGGTTAAGCAATAATAAACACTAAGCAAAGAGAATCAGGCTGTAACCCAGAGCATTGGAGCGCGTGAAGCAAACCTCATTATTGACCCTCCTTCCACTTGCTTGTCTCTCAGTCTCAGTCTCTGGGAGGTCACAATGAGCCCTGTTCCCACCTGGCCTTTCTGAAAATGTGCAGGGGAATTGTCATTGCTGTTGGATGTCAGTGTTTCAGGCGACGTGTGAGTTCTTTTGTTCTTCCTGCTGATCCCTTCTTTACATCTTTGTTTGTCCCTCCAGCTTTTTTTTTCCTCTGCTTCCATTTTTCCTGGGTCCATAGCTGTTCTGCTGTTCAACTTGCTTTCCAAACACAACGCTGGCAGCATTGTTGAGCCCTGTGCTGATCTCTAAGGTCTGCTGTGAACTTGACTGCTGTAGGTGCTTCCCAGGTCTTATCCCTGAAACCACTGAGCTCCTCTTTGTAGTTCTAGCCTTGGTGCACCAGAAAAAGAGGAGCTATGTTCCCCAGTGTCTTTTAGCACTGTCTTGTTCTCTTACCAGAATGAGGAGCTTCTTGGTATTCGAATATTTCTCCCTCTTAATCAACTTCTTTTCAACAGCAGGAAAGGCTGCAGCACAGTTCTGTTTTCTATTTATTTCAGAAACCTTGGTGATTTTATGTTGCTGCTCATTATCTAGTTATCAAAATTGTTTATGAGTTGATATTTTGCTTTCCTTCTGGAATAATTCATGTGAGGATTTAAATATCTTTCCTGCTGCTCCCATAAATTTTTTGGGCATTATTTGATTAAAGACCCTCCAGGGAGGAAAAAAGAACTTTATTCAGTGATTCAGTTTTACAAAATCAGATACTCAAGAGTGTTCACTTGTTTTCTTCTTATTTAATGAGATCTTAGTAGGTAGCTCTTTTGGTACCTTTCTTGTGGAATCATGTATACTTTTTTCTATTTATTCTTTTTGTGGATTTGTTTTGGACTCCTTTCAGCTGCAAGAACAGAATGACTGTGGAAACCTAAATGTCCTGTTATTAAAAATGTTGCTCTCATCTGAAGGGAATTATTTGCTGGCTTTTTTTTTTCCCTGACTAAATATGGAGATGTGTTAATTTTGTGTGTAGATGTAAAAATGTCTGCTTTGATTTGAAAGCAGCCCTACATCAAAATAACATGGTGTTGGACAGTTTTCTCTGAAATCAGACTGTGACTTTCATTACTATAAATATGTAGACTTTATTCTGAAAACAAAATATAACTCTTATTTCATGCTATAAGGGCACCCCCTAACTCTTGTTCTGAGGTATGTTCCTTTCTTTGCAGTTAAAGTTTGATGTTGACATCAGAAAATGAAGTACATAATTTAACTGAATATGTTTCAACTTCTTTCATGAAACCATGAAAGGTGTTTGAAAACTGAAATATTTGATAATTATAAGTGGGTGAAACTAACAATGAATAATAATCTTTTAAATATTTGTTAAGATTTAGATAATAGAAAGCTTTTGTGAGGACATTAAAAAAACAAAGTCGAAGCCCACTGCAAATCTGTTCAAGTTTAAGAGACTTAGTTAAAGAGGTTTTTCTTTGTTTTTGATTTTTCAGCCATTCCCCTAGGAATTATAGTTGTGCGAGGAGACTGCGACTTGGAGACTTGTCGTATGTACATTGACCGCCTGCAAGAGGTGAGGCTTTTGTGAATTCAGATATCATTTGCTAATCTAGTTTATGTTTCTTTCAGCTCTGAGTGCAGAGGACTAGTAGTTGCCACAACCGTATGTCAAGACTGTTGCAATTTGCCTGCCACTGAAATGAAAATTCTAGAATTAAGAGATGATAATAAAAGTACTGAAAGTATTTCTTAAACAGAAAATTAAAAATCACACTGATTCCTTTTAAATGATAACATAATTGATGTGGATGGGTGTGTTTACTTCTCTTTCATTAAGAATAGAATACCAGAACATTCCACAGATGTTGCTGAAATTACCTAAATTATGCATTAGAATGTGTGTTATGTAAGGATAAGCATTGTGGTATTTGAGTGGGTCCAGTTATTCAACTGTCACTCTCTAATACTGTCATGGAGTAAACTGAGAAACCACTAAACACTACAACTATCAACTAGATGGTTCCAAATCTCAGAAATATATGTTCATGCAGCTAATAATAGTGCCACTCTTATTGCCTTAAACACCTTGACTCATGAGAGTTCATTCTACAATACAGTGTGGGCAATGGAGACTCCAAATGTCTCATTACCCAAGTCATTTTAAGTGTGTATGCCTCTAGTGATAAAACTAATGGATTTTCATCAAAGTACTGTCTCTGATTGTTTTTAATATCTTAAAAATCACTATCTTAGTGATATCTTTCAATAACATTTACAAGTGTGAGGGCATCATGTAGGTTTATAAATCATTGGTCTAATTTACATAGGAACTATGAATCTCACGCCTTCCATTGAACTCTTTGGGAGCCATTGATTTCCTGTAGGTTTTGGAACTCTGCACTTGCAGTCAGAATAGGAGTCTTAGTATCTCACTTCAGGGTTTCACTTCTTTGCATTTCTGAACATCCAGACCTGAGGTGTGACTGTTATTATCAGGCAGAAAAACACATTTTATGTTGCATAAGGTGCATACGATAAGGTAAGGTCTAAGATGCATATTTGCAGTATAGGGTATGGAAAATTACAATCAGTCTGGAAGTTCTGGTTGAATTACCCATAGTGGTTGTGGAGGAGCTGTGTTTCCACAACCTTGTGCAGTTTCTGTGATTTTTTTTTTTTTTTTTAATGTGCTTGATTTGGCTCAGACCCATTTGCTGGGAATAGAGGTGCCAAGTTTTTATTGAGCTCTGCCAACTTGCTTGCTGCTGGGGGGCAATGGTCTGTAGGCCAGGCTCTATGGTAGATTAAGTCATGAGCTATAAGTATTTGAAAAAATCTCTATTAAAATAAATTAGATTCCTGAACCCTGCTAAATATCAGGATCATTCTGATATGACCTCCTTGGAGTGAGGTTGTCTTAAAACAGGGAGAACTGCCAGTGGTTTTCTTCAGTGCATTAATCACTCAAAACTATTTGTAAAAAAAGGCTTAGATTTTTAGCCTATTTTCATTAACTTTTTTGCTGATATTCTAAATTTCTCATGGAACAAATAGATTTGTAGCATGGTAAAGATTCATTAACATAATCTCTATATTTTTGAAACTGGTTTTTTTACCAAATGCATACAAATCTAAACTTTAAGTGAACTTTCCATGACTATTCTGCAGTGTTTGTTTCACATGCTTAAAACCAGTGAGAAATACTTGCAAAATGATTTGTGTTTGCCCAACCACTTCAGGTAGTAGAACTGCAAACAGCTCTTGTTGCTTTTATTTTTTTCATCACTGCTGTGTCTTTCATTCTCCATCTAGGACCTACAGTCAGTACCTTCTACTACACAGAGAGTTCATTACCAGGTAAGATAAGCTTTGCTTTTATTATCAGAACAAAAAGAATCTTAACAATGTGAACTGCACTCTTTGTGTTCGAACTTATACGTTCTTGGGTTAAACACCAATGTTTTAGCTGAATTTCTGATTAACATTTATGCTTAAATCTTGGAGATTCGTTCTGATTTCTCTTGTACAATCCTTTTCCTTGCAAGCCTTACAGAATCACCTTTAAAACTAGCCCAGGATGATGATGGAGCAATACTGCAATAGTGGTACCTTGCATATTGAAGTGAATGATAGACTGTGTCCTGTAGGACAAATGACAAAAGTAAAACGTTTTCTCTGTCTGAGAAACAGACAATAACATGTTATATTGCATAGCTGTAGTAATAAATTCTTATCAGTGAGAAAAAAAGGTGTTATAGCAGGCCTAACCTCTTAATAATTCTGTACATGTCAGTCATCTACTTTAACATAATCTTCAGGGTAATTTTTTAATCCATCTTGGGCACAAATGTGTTTTCTGCATGAGACAAACAATTTTTAGGTGGCTAGTTCTTAAAATTGGTCTCTTTGTGCATTTTACAACTTTATTCTACAAACAGAACTTGCCTTTACAGTTGCAGGTATTGTTGTATATTTCTCTCAGTAAAATAATGCATTGCAGAGCACTTAAATTGGAAGTAAACTAACTCAGACTAACTCTACTGGCTCCTGAAATGGTCGGATATTAGCACAGAGACTTGACACAAACCATGGTCAGTTGACACAGTGCTTAGGATCACAAGCTTGCATGGTGTTGATAATGTTTTTCCCAATTTAGCAATGCAAGTCTTGTTGGATCAGCAGGAACAAGTTCACTGAGAAAGCGTACAGAGATCCAGATGACAGGAACCAATTGTGGTGAAATTGCAGATAATTTCTTGGATGTTACTGATTACTTGGGTGATACAGAATTCTAGTTTCACAAGAATGCCTGTAGGTGCACTGACTGCAGGCACTATAAGAAAATGCAATTTGGCATGTTTTCCTGGAGTTGCCTCCTTCTTATCAGTTCATGGTTTGTTTCTTCATTTCCCTGTCCAATGTTAACCTCATAGTTTTGACATTTCCATCAGTCATTTCCTGGAACTGAGTTTTAGAGCACTGTTAGTGTCTAGCAAATTGACTAATAAATCAGCATGTATGATTCTGTTCCACTCATTATAAATTAACCTAAGTGGCTGCTGACTGCTCCATGTGTAGGAAACTGCCTGAGGTAAAATGAAGAACTAAATCTGCTTATATGGGGAGGTCTAAAAAAGAGTATGAAATGTTGAAAATCAGCTCAATACTTGGCTCTAACCTCTGCAGTTATAGCAGTATATGATTTAGTTGCCTAGCCATCTTCTCTAGTGCACAGCAGTGTGAAATCCCTAACACACCATCCATTTTTTATGATGCTACATTTTAAATGCGCCCCTCTCTGTGTTTTGTCTTCAGTACTTGTTTGTCCTGGTTTCTTCAAACATGGTTTTTTTCTCAGTGGGTCACTTTCTGCAAACTGTCTTGTTAGGTTAATTTGAGGTTTGTTCCACATTGGTATCCCTATACGTATTGCAGAAATGGGAAAAAGCAGTGGATAAAGAGCATGAATAAGGTGCTTAAAGTGATAGAACTGTCTTCATACCTCACTAATAAGGTGTCATGGGTACTTTTAGGTGTCATAAGTGCAGTTCTCTTGTGTGATTCCTCTGCAGCTCAAAACATGGGAAGTCAGCAGAAATATTAGCAAGCCCAGGTGCAAATGAGAAAAATTGCACTAGATTTGTTTCTCACACTGTTTTGTTTCTCTAACGAGTTTATTACTCATAACATACCATTCTCATGGGCCTGAGACTTCGCAAGATAGTTCTGCAGTTGATCTGTAATGAAGTCTTGGAAGGAGGATATCACAATATGCAATTTGTGATTCAAATTTATATTTACCAGCATTATCCCTATATTCACTTTGCCAACATTATGTACTCTATGAATTTTTACTCATTTTTCTTCTTTGTGTAAACTACATTTTAGAACACACCATTATTGGATGTTTTCTTCCTTTTTCCCTTTGTATAGCAGTCCTCTCCTTTCCACAGAATGGACTAAATATTAAGATACATAAAACTTTGTGCATTTAGAGACAGATGGCAGCAAACCTAATGGATTTCAGTGATCCTTGATTCTCCCACATACCCCTTAGCTGCAATATAAGCAAACCTAAGCATCCCACAGCTTGGTTAGTCCTTCTTGGAGAAAGAAAAGGTGTATTTTAAATCTGATTCTATGAAACCATTGAGATGTGTTACTTGGTCCCCAGGTGCAGATAAAGTTCACTTTATGGAATTTGATGCTGTCATTGTCTCCATCTCTCCTGTAAGGAGGCTGGAGACAATAAGCTGTACATGAGGGCAAGGTTTATGAAATTAAGTAAAATCCTCCCTGTTGCTTCTACATTTTCTTTTCTAGGCATGTGACTGGGTATACTACTCTGTAGTCTGTTGTCTGAAAGAGGAGTAAAGTTTAATCTTGAGTCAATATGAGCCTGAATTTACACTGTTTGTAGATGTGCTGATTGTACTGCTTAAGATGTAAATAAGGATAGAATCTGGCTCTATACAAATTTTGTGTGTGTGCCCAAGATCCATGCTGTCGTGTTTTACCCTCTGCAGATACATTTGTGTTTAAATACTGTATGCAAGTGGCTTTAAGAATTTGGCTGACCATACACTGGCAGCATGGAGTGCAGAGATGACCACCCTCTGCTCTCTTGAGATCCCTTTTGCCTCTCCAGCTCAGTGAGAGCTAAAAATGCATGGGGGACTGTTTGAGTGCTTGGTGAGTACAGGTCAGGAAGAAGGTCTTCCCAGTCATTTTCCTTCCCAGTCATTTAGTTTGGTTCCTGAAGTAACATCTGTCAGATCTCCAGGAGCAGATTTTTTTAGCCAGAATGGGAACATGTCGATGTAGGATGTCTATTTGTTCGGCCAGTGGTGATCCTCAGGTCTGTGCTCTCCGTATTCTTGGTGCAGGGGATAACATGGTTTTTACTCCAATGTGCATTGGGGACAGAGCAAACTGGGGAATTGCTTTGAGTGGCAGATGAGTAGAGGAGGCAAAAGTGTGTAAAAATACTGAACTGGAACAAAGGAAGGTGACAGATACTCTCAGGCTCTTGGGGATGGTCCTGTGCAGGGCCAAGAGTTGGACTCGATGATGCTTGTGGCCCCTTCCAACTCAGCCAATTCTGTGACAGTATATATGGAACAAACAGTAATTAGAGTTCGTGGCTGCTGTTTGATGCTGATGTGCGTCTTTGATCTCTTTCACCTCCCTCTGTTCCTGTTGGGAAAACTGTTGTTGATGCAAAGGTTTTGATAGTGCTGAGCTGAAGGGAAGAGGACAGCTGAAGATGTGGCTGAAACTAACCATGTCGGTTTACTCTTTTGTATGATTGCAGTCAAACCTTGATGTCCTGGAGAAGAAAATCCAGTGGGTTTAGGTTATGTAGCTTTTACACATTGTGCAACGTCAGTAGAGCAAAATGAAAAAAAGCGCAAAGTCTAGGAAATAGCCCATCTTAGAGAAAAAATGGTTCTTTTTTTTAAATATGATTTCCCTGCCCCATACAGGACCAGGAAAGCTCTTTCCCCAGAGTACTTTCTGTCCAGAGGCTCTCTCCTAGATGGTGCTTCCTAGACGGTAAGTGCATCTCCCTTGTCTTGTGCCCAGCGTGCTGCTTGCCTCTGTTGTGCATATGAAGATAGTTCATCTGAGAGTATTAACTGTGCTGGGGTGACTTGTTCCTTCTCGTTACACTGAGCAGGTAAAAAAGGAGCTGAGTGACCCCCTTTCCCCTTTAAAAAGTGAAGTGGGCCCTTCATCTAGCAATCAAAACGTCTGCTGTAGCTTTTTCACCCCAAGCAGACATGCTCCCCCAAGGGAGGTTAGCTGGGTTTATTAGAGTCTCTGCTGTGATGAGGAGACTTAGTGTGTGGCAAAGCCTGAACTCAGAGTGCAGCTGGCTGTGGCAGTGTGTTGCTGCTGGTAAGGCTGTGCTCTTCACTCCATAAGTGTGATAGTTTTTAGGCACTGTAGTGTTTAGGTGATGGAACTATACCTCCCTTTTCCTTGTAATGCTGCACTTCATGTAATTCCCGGGAGAACTGCACTTGTATTTGACCCAGACTTTGTCGAAGCAGACGACTTATCTGGGCTGTACATCAGGCTCCAGAGCACAGAAATTAGCAGCTGAAATGGATGGCATCTGCTTTTTACAGAAGCTTCTGCATGGGGAGGCTTAAATTTTTAATATTCTAAACAAAAACAAATTCTCCTTGGCAATTTCTAATCACTCTTCCTTGTCTCTCATGAGGGAAATTGATAAAGACATATTGAGAATCTGTTTGGTTTTTGGAGAAATCTGGGTGGGTAGATGCATTTAGTTTTTGTCTTTAGTATTTGATATTCTCATGCAGTGCCAAAGCCTACAATGCTATATCACTGTCCTCTTGTGTCAGAACTCCAGAGTGAATGGACCTGATTTCACTCACCAAACAAAATGCAAAGTAGATACAAAAAAAATTGCATCTGATGAAGCACATTGTACATAATAAAATACTTTTGGACTTAGTAACATAAATTATTTGACAGTGGCAAATTCATAATATGTGCTTTATTTAGTGAATCTCCCCTGTTTTCATGTGTTTTTCATGAGTAGCATAAATTTTCCTTGAATATATTAATTCAGAGTGAATATCTCTGGCCATGCATTTGATTTACAAAGAGCTCCCAAGCATGGTATTGTTCTTTAGATTCAAAATTTGAATTAATCCTATTAGACTCATCAGTTTAATTATATGCTTGCCATACTCTCGTAGGAACAATGGACCTTCTTCTGTCACATATTTTAATGCAATCAATTCTTCTTATAAGCCTGAAATCCATTTAATACATTTAAAAATATTTATTTCAAATTAATATTTTCAGTGAGTATTGTTTCATTAAACCTCACCTTTAAATTCACCATTTAATGGGATAGGAATATCATAGAGTCATGGAATATTTATGGTTGGAAGGGACCTTAAAGATCATCTAGTCCCAACCCTCTCTGTCATGTACAGGGACACCTCCCACTAGCCCAGGTTGCTCAAAGCTTTATCCAATGTGGCTTTGAACACTGCCAGGGTTAGGGCACCCACAACCTCCCTGGGCAACCTATTCCAGTATCTTGCCACTCCCACAGTAAAGAGTTTCTTCCTAATATCTATCCTGAATTTCCCCTCTTTCAGTTTGTACCTTACTCCTTGTTCTATTGCTACAATTCCTAATGAAAGGTCCCCCTCCGGCTTCCCAGGAGGCCCCCTTCAGATACTGGAAAGTTGTTATGAGGTCTCCATGCAACCTTCTGTTCTCCAGGCTGAACAACTCCAACTTTCTCAGCCCATCTTCATAGGGGAGGTGCTCCAGTCCTCTTATCAACTTCATGGCCTTCCTCTGGACTTGTTCCAACAGTTCCATGCCCTTCTTATGTTGGGGACACCAGAACTATATGCAGTGGTCCAAGTGGGGTCTCACATGAGCAGAGTAGAGGGGGAGAACCACCTCCTTGGACCTGCTGGCCACGTTCCTTTAAATGCAACCCAGCACACAGTTGGCTCTCTGGGCTGAGTGCAAGCTGCCGGCTCATGCTGAATTTTTCATCAACTGTTACCTACAAATTCTTCTCTGTAGGGCTGCTGCTCTCAATCACTTCTGGACCCAAACTGTAGGTGGGCCTGGGATTGCCGTGACCCAGGTGCAGGACCTTGCGCTTTGCTTTGTTGAACTTTATGAGGTTCTTCATGACACCTCTCAAGTATGTTAAGGACCCTCTGGATGGTATCCCTTCCCTCCAACATGTTGACTGCACCACACACCTTGGTGTCATCAGTGGACTTACTGAGGGTGCACTCATTCCCACTGTCCATGTTGCTGACAAAGATGTTGAGCAGTTTTGGTCCCAGTACTGACCCCTGAGAAATACCACTTATATGGACATAATGAATTAATTAGATTATGTTCTTGTGGGGCCACTTCACTGACACAGGGGTTGTCATATGTAGTAGTGGACAAAACAGCCTGTTTGGACCATGCAGTTCTGCTCAGACTATTTTCTTCACAATGGCTTTGTTGTTTCTCTGTCTTGCAGCAACTTCTGCTGATCGTTTTTACCGCATTGACAGATCTCAGGTAAATCTTTATTCAGTTATAATTTCTATAGATTTATTTTTTTTTTTAAAGCTTTGTCAAATGCAGCTTAAAACGAATTATCTGCCATTCCTCCTGTATATTCCAAAATGTTACTGATGTCTCATGAGAAATAGAGAAAATATTCTGGGCCATTTTTTAGTTGATGTAATTCACATTGTTTCAATGATGTCTTGTGTCTGCTGACCATCTGCTGTTCTGTTTCCTACCAATTTGATATAAAGATCAGAATTTTCTGCACTCGTCATCCTTGTTGTCTTACTAGGGGCATCTGTGTGGCACCAGTGTATTCGCATTTATCTTTTCACTGATGCTTTTTGGCACCAGAAGCCTTGATCCTGTGTATGTGTCTGCCACCAAATAGCTATAGAAGTTAAGGTGATGTTACAATTTGAGAATTAGGAACAGAGCTGCATCAAATATTCCTAAAACAATATGTAGCTCTGCTGGATTCAAACCTGTGGTAGAGATTTGACAATCTGAGTATGTTTTCTGGAAAACACTGAAAATTTTACAGGGCTTTTGGTATGTCTGATTTGTGCCCAGAACAGGCCAATTAGTGGCTCAGCATTATGTGCAAATTGTTGATTTCACACAGTGGCCGTTTGTATCTGGTCCCCCTGAGAACTGTGTAAGCTGTTTCTGAATTACATGAATGTATTACCGTTTCTTAATAAAAGCAGCTAGTGCTTTAGTTCAAGCAACAGGAGCTGTGACTTCAGTTCAGAGTTACCAGGTTCAGTGTCTGCATGTAGCCACCATGGGACTTCTTTACACATGTTATACATCTTTGTTTTCATGTTGTACTTCCACATTTGGAAGGCATGGGTGAAGAAGATGCAGGTTAAACTAAGCAATCTGATCCTGTTTGGCTTATTCTGTATTTCTTTAATACTTGACACTGTACAGGTGGTCATCTTTCTCTCCTACTCCTCCATCCTGTTTTTCTGTGGGGAAAAGGTCAATACTGTGTCATGGTCCCAGCACACAAACAGTGGGAAGTGTCCTGCCTGTTTGCCTACATAGACAGGCCTATTCCCACTCAGTGTTTTTTTGAAGGATAATGAGCCTTCAGTGTCAATAACTAAAAGGAAGGACTAAGAAAGAAAGCTTTGTTAATGGAGATGTTAAACCAGACTGTACAAGCAGTAAAGATCTGGAAGAGTACCCCCAAACAATGAAAAGTTCTGTCAGCTGTCACTGAATGAGACACCTTGGGTGCATTTCGAAATGCAAACCTCAGCCTGTCGTTTTCAGCAGAATGACGTGGAGTCATTGAGCCTTTTAAGTGTCACTGTGAGTGTGAAGCTTGCTCATTGAAAATCTTGTTTGGCTTGAAATCAATGAAATATTTATTAGTGACTTTGGTGGCATTGGTTTTAATGTGGTTGTATAACTATGCACTTAAGTACACAGAGTCCCCTGAATGCTCTTCAGAGACACTAATGTGCAGCCAGCTGGCTCTAGGGCAGGTGGGTGCTCTGAGAGATCAGTGATGCTGCAGGTACAATATTTGTTGCTTGTATCACTCCAACAGGAACATTTGCACTTTGTGACAGAAATTTCGCAGGACGAGATTTTTATTCTGGACCCAGAGGTGGTAATGTCACAGCAGGTGGGGACGCCACCAGGAATGCCTGATCTGGTAGTGGAGCAGGCCTCTGGGTGAGTACTGCTGGGATCGGACTTTTCACGGTTGTATTAGAGATAAGCATCTCTTTATGGTCCCCTTTTCTGAAGGACTGGGAGTTGTGGGAGGGCAGATATTAGATGAGGAGCTGAGGACAGGAACAAATCCAGCCATGGTAATGACAGAAGGACAGTGGCATAATCTACATCTACTCCATTAGGCATCCTGGAGCACACAGCAGGGCTAATAGACTTCGGCACCTTTTAACCTCCTCTACAGGTCAAGATACCACTTGACTATCTGCCCTGTCATAAACCTATAATGACTGAGTTACAAACTCTCTTCTCTGTCTGGTTAGGGCTCTGATACCACTGTATAAGACCCTAAAGCCCTTTATGTCTAAGCATGATGGTGAAGTGTCTGTTTCTTATCATCCTCTCAACAGACCAGAAATGCTTCTATTCATCTTTAGGAATTTTGTATTCGTAGTGAATTAATCAATTTAAACTTGCCATGGGCTGAAAAATGCTGGGAACCACTAAGCATAAGATGGCTTCAAAGTGGAGTATGCAGCTAATTTCTGAGGGGTGAATACCTTTCTCTTCCTTCTCATATCCCTAGAATATCAGATCGGTGGAACCCTGCTGTGCGAAAGAGGATGCTGAGCGACAGTGGCCTTGGCAAGATCTCCCCCCACTACGAGGTACCTGACAAACAAAAGGACGCCAGCCAGACACATATGCTGCAGTAAGAGCCCTCTGCATTTCTCTGCTTGATGACACACTGTCACTGTCACCACAGCCAACTCCTGGTGTCTCCTTTAAGCATAATGAATTGTGCTGACGTGCTGAAATTACAGAAGTTCTTTTGCTACCTCTCTTTTGCTCCTCCCTTCTGTTCTTCCTCTTTCTCCACTGTCATATGTTCTTGCCTTTGCTTCTTCCTCTGTGACACCCTGAACTCTTAATTAATCTAGATCCAAGGACCCTGAAAGAAAATAAGTTATTTTGGGTGGCCGAATTTCCACCTAAGGAAATGTTCTTGGCAACTGTTAAGGAGAAAGATCAAAGCATTCACCCTCACTGTAGCTTTGATACAATGTGACAAAGCAGAAACCTCTAGAACTGCGGCTTGTTGTCAAAGATGTGGGCAATAGTTTTCATATAATCTTGAACCATGGTCTTCTTGTGATACCCCCATGGAGACTTCTACCACTGTATCCTATTTACCCTGTTCAGATTTGTATAAAAACATCTCTTATTCTGCCTGCCTATTTTAGAAGTGGTTCTCAACTTTTTGGTCATTTCCCTTTAGATTTTCAGAACTATCAGTAGATCTATAATCACTACCAAAGTTTAGATGGGAAACACTTGTCAGAACTCTGTTGGTGACTTTGAAAGATTCTAGTCTTTTGGGATTGTTTCCCTTCCCTTGACCCCCGCCAGGCACCTGATGTATAATCATGTACATAGCTTCTGATTTATCTTTCTAGTTTTACTGTATGGACATCCCTATGGACAGATATTAAAACCTAGTGTAGAAAAATAAGGAATAGTGACCATGTGGTCCTTGTTTCAGATTTTCTTTCTGTCTGGATGTGTGTGGAAGGGGGCTGCAAAGTGCGTACAGGGCAGGCAGAGCCTACATTTCCTGGACAGATGCAGTGTGGATGGCAGACTGTGTAGCCATGTGGCTACCAACTGGAAACTCTCCAGCAAACTGGAAACTGCTGTCAGGAGAAGGAGATGTCATGATAAGAAAGGATGATCTAGGTAGCACTTACAAAAGACACACCCCTGTTTTTCTCCTGTTGCCCTGAGGGATTCTGGGTTAGTTCTTGGTGCTCTTTGCAATGTGAAGAATGGTGAATTCAGGTTCACTTTTCCACAGACTGGAGTGGCAGGGCCCAAAATTTGAAGATAACAAAGCTATGAGAAAAGTGATCCTTAGACACTTCTAGACAGTAGGGAGAGATGGTGAGAACATGTGGATTAATTTCTAATTGGTAAGAGGAATGATTTGGATTACATCAGCGTGACTGGAAATGTTTGCTTAGCTGTAACAATTATGTTTGGTAGATTTATTAAGTACAAAAAAAGTCAGCAGCATTGCCCAGAGTAAAGTGTATTTGTCACTGCCTGCTCTGAGGAATTGTTTTCTTTACAGCTTTTCTAAACTTTAATTGTTTTGGCTGAAATTTTTCATAGTAAGACTCCATCTTTGACTGTTTCTTTTTCTTGTAGTAAAAACTTGAACAAAAAAGTCAGTTCTTTCTGAAGACAAGATTTATGGGAAATGTGCTCCTGCTTTCAAATAAATAAATAAATCCAGAGGTTGTTTCCTGAGACGTTTTAGTGCTGGTAGTGGAATGAACTTCATTGGAATGAAGTTTTGGAGGCTTGACATTTAATAAAATGTCATCATAATACCAGGGAGATGCCTTTCGCTGTCTTGAAAATTACCCCTGAGTTTGCCCTGCTGATGAGATTGTTCATGCACTTTGGAGACACCTCAGATTCAAGAGTTTTGCTTTCAAAAGTTTCTGTCTGTACACGCTCACAGAGGAGTTATGCCCCTTCCGTGCTTAATTCAGGTTGCAGGCCTGCCCACAGGGCTGAGGGAAGGGGGGCTGTGCTGCTCACCACCTGATCTCCAGTGGCAAGGAGAAAAGGGATGCAATAGTCATGGTCAAGTGGAGACATGCAGGTGTCTGGAAATCAGGATGGAAATAATGAAGAGGAAGAGGACATGGAGCACATATAGGTAAGGGAATAGTGAGACAGGCTAGAGGCACAGAGGAAGGGTGTGTGGCTGTTTCTCTGCAGAATCTGGAGTTCTGGGTTTATGCAGATTATTCATTCCACCGGTGGGCAAGCTCTGAAATATATTTAGACACTGCCTCATTTGCTGCCAAGATGGAAGGTATATAGTAAGTGAGTCAGGGGATCGTGGTGGAGAAAGAAAGATATTATTGCAGTTAAGGCACTTGAATGCTGCTCTGGAGGACTGGCTTCTCTGCTCAACATCCCTGACAGGATTTCTGAACGATGATGAAGATTTACAACAATCTTTTTGCAAATGACCTGTTAACAGTGGGCTCCTCATTCTATGCGTGTCCACTGTGAAGTAGCTTTGGTTCCTGGGAGGCCAGTACAAGGAGAATTTGAAAGAGAGTGAAGGGCTGGAAACTGAGAAATAGGCTTTCTTCTGCCTCAGGTTGTAATACTAATATTAATGGAAAGTTTGTGCCTGCTTTCCCACCTGCAGAATACAGATAATATTGCAGCCTCACCTTAGAGGAGCAGAGTGAGGGTAAATTTCATGGCCATGAAAAACTTAGGTACTATGGGGAGACACTGTCAGAGATGCTTAGCAGGAAATTAATAATTTTGCATTCTGTGCAGTCTTGGTATTGTGGAATAAATAAATCTTGAGGCTGTGCACTGCATATACAGAAGGATATCTTTCAGGTCTCTACTTAAATACTGAGGCAAGAGTCCAGAAGAAGAAAGTGAAGGGTGGCAATGTGATTTAAGGTTGTCGTGACATTTAATGCAAGAGGGGTGGAGTATGATGCTTGGGTGACATGAGCTGTGACATTTCCAAACTGTTAAATGTTTGAACTTGCAACCTAAAATAGTCTTTCTAACCTGGCACTTTAAAGCAAAATAAGAAGTGCTTTAGAGAGCACTATTATGTTTTGGTAGCTGAAGTAGCTCACAGGTTCTTTACAAAGATTTGTCCCTTCAGAAATTATTTTTCAAATAAAACTTGAGAGAAGGATTATAGCAAAATTTCTAAAGAGGAATATGACAGAGAACAGAGGGGACAATTCCTTCTGTGCGTGGAGCTCTTATGGATCTTTTAAGAATCATCAGCATCCAGTATTTTACATTTAGTCTGAAATACTGTACAGCATTTCCAACTCAAAGTGCATTATCCCATTGCCTAGGGCAAGTGACGGGGGACTTGGTGTGAGAAAAAGTGTCATAGTTGACTTACTGGGAATGTTATCTCAGTGGTCGTTTTTCTCCTAAACAGTTGGGAGCGAAACTCTTCAGGTATTAGGAACAGATTAAACCACAGCTGGTCATAATATAGCTGCAGGCTGCTTAGAGTGCATCTGTCATCACTAGAAACACACATATATAAATATGAGTGTATATGCATATTTATATATATAAAACCTCTTTGAGATGAAGTTATTATTTCTGACAAGTGAGGAATGTAGCTAAAAAGTCAAAGTATGTGAATAGAAAGATCCCTTAAATTATTTCAATAAATGGAAGCAGAGAAGAGAATATGTGATCTGAAAATAATTATAATGTTAGATGTTGCTTTTGATCACAAGCTATTGTGTCAAACTGTAATTTGAATATAATGGTTTTGAGGCAGGGTTCTTTCTGAGACAGAAATTATGCTTTTGTTTTCAATTAACTGAGCTTCAAGTTATTTTCAGCTGGCTTTTGATTAATGGCATTTTGTGGTTTTGATAGCTCTTTGATGTGTAACTGATATATGGAGTGGACAAGACATGGAACAATGTCTTGATGCAATAGCCAGGAGCTGGGACAGATTGTAGTTTAACAGGAATATCAGTTAGTGTGAGTGGTGCATAAAAAAACACAATAGGAAGACAATTTATTTGGACTATAGAGGTATTTGTTTTTAAAAAAGCTAAATATCCTGGTCTGACTCCACTGAAACAAAGGACCCTTCCTTTGTACATGAGTGGGTTCATCCTAATTTTATCCTATGATAAAATGGTGCAGTGAGTTATGGATGACTTCACAGCCTGCTGTAAGCATTTGTTGCTGGCAATATATTTCTCTTGCTAGTTATATTTGTTACCCTGTTATGTGTTGAGAGCTGGAAAATGAAATAAAATAAAAACCACAACAGCATACAAAGATGAAAAGGTGACTGTACTTTGGTAGAGGTTTAATCTATGTTTTTTAATTGAAGTAATTAACTTCCCCATTTTTGGGGGCCGTAACAAGCACTTTTCTAGCAGCTGTCCAGCTGTGATGGCAATGTATTTCCAAAGCTGCTAGCTGCATTGGCTGAATCGAGTGCATGGCTCATGAAGGGTGGGTGAAGGTTGGCCAGAATGCCATCTGGTCTTGTCAGGGAGAGGAAGAAAAAATGCCTGTAGGTGCTGGAAGATGGTTGCAGCCCTTTGCACTAAATAGACATTAATTAGCTAGTAATACTATGCAGGCATTGCTCTGTGAGGCAATAATAACCTAGCTCCTCAGAGGGAAGAAGAAAAAGGCTAAATGCCAAGTGTTTTAACTCAACCACGAGAATCAGATCATTGCCCAGGAAATCAGTGTGACAGTGCAGATGTTACAAGGTGGTTTAGGGTATTTTTTTAAGAGAAATCTTTGTGTATTACAAGATGAGAAGAACATCAGGTATACAACTTTGTATGTAGAAAGGAGAAGGGATGATCTTTTAGTGAAAGTTTAAAAAATATAAAGAGATAATACAGAACATGGTAGGCAGGAGCTGCCTAGTGACAATGAGCCTTTAAAATGTCAAAGATTGGTAAAGACTTGATAAATCCAAGGCTTTCCCCAAAAATCTTCTACTGGGAAACTCAGCATCAACTCTTAAGTAGGCAGAGTAGTCTGACCTGGTGTTTTTGACAGCAAAATCTGAACTAATTTTCAGGTTCACATTTAGTGCAAACTGCATTTATAAGATTAAGCCACAAGAGTGAATTGTGTATGTTTTAACCAGGA